TTTGTATCAATCTAGAAAGTCTGAATTAATTGGTATGTCAGAATCCAACTTTAAGGCTTTGCAAGTGTGACACACAACTGTATTTAGTTTAATAGAGTACTCCGTACAATTCTATCCAATCGGTTAGCTAGAGCATTAATTATGCATTTATTGTGCAGTGCAAAGGTTATATTTTAGACCCAACCCGACCCATATTTTGGTTAAATGTTTGGGCGGGAAAACTTGCTTGGATTCCACCTCTTTTTATATAGAGTTAGATTTCTCCACACAATTTGACATTTTTGGAGTAATTTGATTGTAAAGTTACATATTATTAGCAGTGTGGCGAGTTGTGATTGTTATAGGCCGAATTTGCGGTGAATTGTTTGGGCCGGATCATTTTAGTGTTGTTAAAGTTATTAAGAGCAGCCCAAAATGAAAAGAGAAAAAAGAGAACAAACAACCCAAAGAAAAAAACTGCAGGAGATTGGATCTTTCTCAAGCAGCCCAAAAAGAAGAGTATGAGCTGGGTTTTTCCCCCCTAAACCAGCAGCCGTAAGAGGAGGGGAATTTTTCTCTATACGTAGTCAATCAAGCAATGATTTTTCCTTCTCCTCACTTAGCCGCAGCAGAGTTCTTCTATCCATCCATTTCACTTAGCAAGCAACCAACGTTTTTTCTTTTCTAAAGCAAGTAGCAGCCGCACGATTTTCTTTCATTCCAAGCACGCACCAACAATTTCTTTCCAGGAATGATTGAAAATTAATTTACTTAATTCTAATCCCGAAAGAACACCCAGAACCCGAACCATCTAATTTGAACCCTGTTTTAATATCTTGAATCAATTTATTTATTTTTCTGTTTATTTTTGCACTCGCTGTTAGTTTTTTTTACCACCAAAAAAAATTATTTGGAAAGATTATCATGACTTGTGCTAGCCTGTGATCACGGATTGTATTTAAACTTTCTTTTTGCCACTCCTTGAGAGACGATACTCGTGGTCTGGTTATTCTTCAGATTAGCCAACTACGTTTTACCTCACTAAAAAAATACACCGATCAGGGAAGGAAAATGGGTGTATTTATAGGTGTTTGGAGGTGTAAGAGCCATTTATCAGACCGGGTTTTTGAGATACCCGACCGGGTTTCCTGAGTAATTGCCCAGAATCTTCATTAGTCACATCATACCCGACCAGGTTTTTGATTTACTCGATCGGGTATAAGACAAATCTTTGTCAAATCTTCGCCCTGCACGTTAAATTGCCTCCAAATCAGATTTGATCTTCGGGTCAAGTCAATACCCGATCGGGTATATGCTTTACCTGACCGGGTAAATGAGTATTAATTTTGTCTTTATCTTGTTCCTTTTCACTTTTCTTGACCTTTCCAAGGATCCCTTTGATGATCTTTACCTAGTTAAAGCTCAGAATAATGCTAATCTAAACAAATTACAAACAAAATAGGAAACATAAAGTATTATACCAAAAGTGTGTAATTTCCCAAACAACAACAAATAAAACTAATTAAAATTACAAACATAAATAATAACAATTCTATACTATCACTTCGCCGGGAATGGCGATTGGCATGGTTAACCGTGTAAGGGATGCAGAGTTGCTTGAAGCGATGCATTGTGACGGAGAAGCTGGGCTGACCCGTAGAACTCCTACTAAACCTACCTCGCTGGGAGGCAGGCTAGAGTTGGATCGACGGAACTGGGCCTGTTACATGCTCTTTTGGGTCGAGGTTATTTTTAGTTCACAGATTGTTTTGTATGAATTGTTTTATGGGTTTTTCTATGGTACCTACTTAAATAAACTAGATACCGGTACATCGAGTTTTTTAGCCAATCACCTAAGACTATGAAGCCACGTTACCACCTAATCATATTAGCACACTAAGATTGATTATTTGCATTTTTAGTCCCTAATGAGGAAGCGGTTAACAAGTGAACTACCGATTAAATCCATTATCCCCACATTATTTGCATATATTTCATCCCCTTTTATTTCCTTATGCATCCTATATTCTTTTACAGGTTATACTCATAATTTCTCTTGATAATTCGGAAACTCTCATTCAGTGACGGATCCAGGAAACATATTCACAGCCTATTGATGACCCGTATTTTCGGTTTATTACACTTATCAATCAATTTTTTTCATTATACACGGAGTTTTAATTTTGTGCACTGAATTGTATAATAATCAAAATAAGTAATATTGAAGTTACTTTTTTCTGACTGAATTGGCAAAATTAGTGTAGAAGTCCATTTTAATTACTTTGATACTAGCATCCTTTTTTTGTCGCAACATATATAAATTTACACTATTCACATGCTCTAAATAGGTCTACCTTTCAAATTCTACTCCTGCTTTATTTTAATACATTTCATATTTCATTATTTTTGACACATAAAATTAACAACATAACTTTGATTATAATGAAAATGGGAAAAAAATGAAAATACATATTAAATACAAATAATAATAAAAAATATTATATATATATATATATATATATATATATATATATATATATATATAATATGGAGGTCTTTCCCGCAACCTCTATCACCTCCCCGCACCACAGCTCCGATCACCGGAAAACAATGCCAACATGTGTCAGTAATGTCATCTTGATAACAATTTTAGAGAAAAATTGACATTTTTAGATATTAACAATGTCATCTTCATGACATTTTTAATAGATAATGAACATTTTTTTAATACACAAAACGAAAGTTTCGTCGCCGATCGGAAGTGGCGTTGCTAGGAGGTGGCGGGGTTGTGAGAAAGACCTACATAATTGTGTTATATTTTTAAGTGTTTTATGTATTTTTGTTTTAAAGTTTTTACTTTTTAATTTGATAAGTTTTAATATTTTTATTAATTTTTAAACTTGTTTGATTTTTTTAGTTTTTATTTTTTTATAAATTAAATTTGTATTATTTTATGTTTTATTACAAATTAAAAGATGATTTTTCTATTCAGCTATGATGAGAATAGAATTGAATACAAATATATAGTGTACTTTATTCCTTTTTTTGGAAGTTACATACAATAGTCTCCACCAGATTGGCCTATTGGTGCTAGACTGCTAGCGTACAAAAGAAAATTAATTTTGTCAACACAAAAAAAAATTAATTAATTGGACGCTAAGCCAAACCCCATTCACTTTTTTTTACAATACCCCTCATTCACTTGCTAACAGTTTTTTGTTGGGGACTAAAATACAAAGAATCAAACTAATACACCGGCGCGTAGTACTTATTACTAATGTGAGTAGAAAGATGACGTGGCTTGATAGTAGAATGTGATTGGTTAAAAAACTCTGGGTACGGGTGCCATGTTTATTTTAGAAGGTACGATAGAAATACCCTTGTTTTATAACGACCTATGGACTGTCGGTATGAATTTTTGAGCTGGAGATGTGTCCCATGCCAGATTTGATTTTGATGAATTACTTTTTGGGCCATAATATTCCTCTCCCCATATCCAATACCTTTAGGTTGGGGGTGTAAATGGTTGATTAGAATCAGTTTTGGATATTGAGACATGGTTTTATCCTGTGCCGGGGTTGTTTGGTTTGTACTTCTGAAAACCTCTTCCCTGCCTTTCATTAGGTGAGGGGGGTTACTATTTGTAGTTAATTTAAACTAGCTCAGATAATATTTTTTTTTACTCCAGGCCGGGGGTCAGGGAAGGGGGGTTTGGGGGGGGGGGGGGAACCTGGAGTAAGTAGGACTGAAACTCACTCCATTGAGTTTCGAACCCTTATGTGCCTAGCGGGTTTCGAACTCGAGACCTCCCACTAGGTACGGTAACCTCACAACCAGCTGAGCTGGAATGCTTGGTTTAGACTATCTTAGATAATTCTGGCCTGTTTATTTTTTCTTGATATTTTATACATTTACATTTTATCAAAAAAAAAAAAGAGTTTGAGTGTCGCTTGATAACTTGGGTGATTGTATATGACAAGGGTTGAATGGCCATTTTAGCTATACTACAGAGACTTATATGATAACTTTCATAAGGGTGTGCAATTCGATTTACGGTTCGATTTTCTTTGGTTTCGGTTCAATTTCGATTTTATTCGGTTTGGGAGATATTGTACCAAACTAAAACCATTTGTGTTTTGGTTTCGGTTTGGTTTGAAGTTCGGTTTACCAAAATGAAAATTATTAGGTTCAATTTAGTTCGATTTGATTCAGTTTCATATGTTAAGTATTCTATTTAATCAACTTCTATTTTTTAGAATTAGAAAGTGAAAATAGTAGTTCTCTCGTTTTTTTGTATGTATTATTTTAATAAAATGTAAAGGGAAATAAAAGATAGAAAAAAATAATAAAATGTGACATAGAACCGTCTAACATCTTTTCGCTCATTAGGAAAGAAATTCAACTCTCACAAAAAATAAATTTACCGTTGATTAGCATTTATAATATCACATAAATTGTTCAAAGAAAACTAAATGAGTCGGTGGTAAAAATGTGTAAAGTTCACAATTTTATTGAAATGAATAATGAACAAATATAAATGTAATTTCTATTGTTATCGCCAAACATCTTTTCATATAGAGAGAGTACAAAATATAACAAATACAAGTATGTTGTATTAACTAACTTTGTTATAATGCATGTATCAAAAATATAAAAGTTAAAATGATACTACGTATATGCTACACATGTATTCTCATATCTTAATTATTTATTTATATCTTAAAGACGAAGAATAAAGACAAATACAAAATATTTTTTATATACTCCGTACTATATATTACTCCCTCCGTCCCGCAATAAACTTCATACTTTCCTTTTTGATTAGTCCCAAAATTAACTTCACACTTCAAAACTATCCTTATTTGACTAATTATCTACATCAAACGAATGCCAAACAGTGTCAAACAATGTTTGAACAGTGCAAAACAATATATTTTACAGTAAAATCAAATTTATTTTCTTAATTGTGTAAAGTAAAAAACTAGAAATTTAAATAGGAGATCATTCTCAAAGCTTACTAAGCGGCACTTTTCACATGTCTTACTACTTGTACTACTGCGGAGATCATTCTCAAAGCTTCACTGTGCAAGTAGATCGCACGTTACGGTCAAATGGAGGTGAATACCTAAAAGTTTAGCTTTTGTACATCTTCCTCCAAAGTTCTCATCGTTTGCAGCGAACTTTCGGAATCTTTAGTAGCTTATCGCCGTTGTTTTTATAGAGTCTGAATGAAGAGGGTAAAGGCAGAGATGGGCCTGCGCCGGCGCCGGTAGTGATAGGCGGCATGGTTTTGGATATAAATTGCAGTCCTTCGGTTGATGCTAATAGAGGGACAACCACTCCTGGCAAGGTTTGACTTCTTAGTTCTTTCATCTGGGGTTCTTCTTTGTTCGGTTGTACGTACCTTGCACAAAGACAGTTGTTTTTCCGAACATAATGAATAATGCTACAGAAGTTTAATGCCCGGCTTATGCTAAGCTTATCTAAATGAGATTGCTGATAGAAGGGCTTAAATCCCACGCCCACGCAGTAAAAACTGGTTTTACAATGCCGATTTTTACAACTAACCAACTTATTCATCTGTATTCTGAGCACGGTCTAGCCCGGGAAGCTCATAATCTGTTCGAAGAAATGCCAGAACGAAACATCTTTTCCTGGAATGCCATTATAAATACCCACGTAAAGGCCCAAAACATTGTGGGTGCACATAAACTTTTTTATGCCGCTCCTCAGAAAGATTCTGTAACGTACAATTCATTGCTTTCTGGTTATGTAAACTACAATGAGTTTGAAAACCAAGCGGTTGACGTATTTCGTGCAATGCAGTATGAGAGTGATAAAGCCCGAATAGATGAATTTAGTCTAACATTGATGCTTGGTCTGACAGCAAAATTGGGTGTTCTGTCTTATGGAAAGCAGCTGCATTCGTATATGTTAAAGACAAGTAATGACATTAGTTTTTTTTCAGTTAGCTCTCTCATCAATATGTATTCGAAATGCGGATCATTTGAAGATGCATGTGCAGTGTTCAGTGTATGTGATTGTTATGCCGTGGATTCGGTCTCAAAGAATGCACTGGTGGCAGCTTGCCTCAGAGAAGGACAACTTGAGACGGCTCAGAAAGTGTTTTGGAGCAACCCAGATTTGAACGATTCTATATCTTGGAATACAATGATTTCAGGATATGCTCATAATGGATATGAAAAGGACGCAATCCGATTATTCAAGCTGATGGCAGAAGAGCAGGGCCTTCAATGGAATGAACACAGTTACGCTAGTCTTTTGATTGCTTGTGCTAGTCTCAGGAATTTGAACTTGGGAAAGGAGATTCATGCCTGGGTTATAAAGAAAGGGTTAGTTTCAAATCCATTTATAAGTAGTGGCATTGTTGATGTTTATTGCAGGTGCAGTAATATGAGATATGCTGAGTCTGTTCACAATACTATCGAGGGAAATAATCCTTTTTCCATTACGTCATTGATAGTCGGATATTCCACAGAGGGTAACATGTTAGCAGCTAGACGGCTCTTCGATTCTTCGGCTGAGAAGAATCCTGTGGTATGGACCGCTATAATGTCTGGTTATCTGAGATCTAAGCAATGTATTGAAGTTTTTCAGCTTTTTAAGGAATTTATGAAGAAGGATGCCAAACTAGTCCCTGAAGCTCTAATTCTTGTCAACCTGCTTGGTGCTTATGCAGTGTGTGCAGCTTTAGATCCCGGAAAGCAAACCCATGCATATTTATTAAGAATTGGAGTTATGGTGGACGAGAAACTAGCAAACAGTTTGGTTGATATGTATTCAAAATGTGGAAGCGTATTGTATGCAGAGAATATATTCCAACAGTTTGAAAGAAAAGATTCCATCTTATACAACACGATGATATCTGGCTATGCTCACCATGGTCATGATAATGAAGCCCTTCTACTTTTCAGAAAAATGAAGGATAGAGGCTTCCAACCAGATGCAGTGACCTTCCTTGCTATTCTTTCCATGTGCCGTCACATGGGCTTAATAAAAAAAGGGGAAGAGTTTTTCAATTCAATGACAACAGACTATAACATCTCACCGGATATTGAGCACTATTCATGTATGATTGATTTGTACGGAAGGGGTAATCAGCTTGATAAGGCAGTGGGAATTGTGGAAAAGATTCCCTGTAAACCAGATGCTGCTGTTTTGGGTGCGTTCGTGAATGCTTGCAAGATGAACAGGAACACAGAACTTGCAAAAACAGCAGAGGAGGCACTATTGCATATTGAGGGGGAGAGTGGGGCGAGATATGTGCAATTGGCTAGTATATATGCCTTAGATGGGAAGTGGAGTGAAATGGGAAAGTTGATGAAGATGATGAGAGGAAAGGCAGTGAAGAAACTTGTTGGTTGTAGTTGGGTACACATGGGAAGCAAAGTTCATACATTTACTTCTGCTGATAGATCTCACTCGGAAACAGAGGCCATATTTTGTATCTTGGAGTGTTTGTCCCTAGAATTAAACGATGTACCTTCGATATTACTACTTGAATGATGAAGCTTCAAACACACTCTGATCTCATTACTATGCTAGCCTGCTAGGTCTGCTTTCTTGGGAAATCAAGTACTCTATCCGGTTCACAATGTGATCTCATTACTGTGCTAGTGTGCTACTAGCTTGCTAGATAGCTTTCTAGACAAATTAATACCCCCACTGGTTAACAATAAGTGTCACTTTGACGAAAATCAGAGAGATTAAGGAATTAATAATTGTTTTTTACAACGTTGTACCTCTTTAAATAATCCTATCTATCAATACGTTGTTTTGGTTTTATAATTTAGGTTTAAAATGTAAATAGCAGTAATTTTTTCGTGGCTGTATAAAGCAACATTGATGTGAACCAAAACTTGTCTTTGTTAGTGACACTTAAGTTATTATTGGAACTCTGAAGTTGGTATGGAAAGGAAAAAAATGCACAGGAAAAGTTTTTTTTAAGTTTGGTTTTTACATTGAAAGATATGAAAGAAATTTAAATTTGATTTGTTTCATATTCTTGGTTTTCTTAACCTTTTTATAATACAAATATTTAAATAGGAGATTACAGAAGCATCAAGTTTCAAATATTTTTATGATTATTTTCCCAAACATTTTATTACTTTCTACTTGTCCTCTTTTTAATTCCATAATATTTTCAGCATTCCAAACAGATCCTTATTGTTAACTGGATTAGGGGATTATCTTGTTTATCTATTATGTAAAGATGAGAGTTTAACACCAGTTGGCATAATATCTGATGCATACTTTCTTGGTTCAAGTATTCAATATTGTAGCTCTGTTTAAAATCTACAAACAGGCTGTACACATAACCTTTATAACTTTATATAACTCTGAACCTCGCAATGCAGATCGTCTACACATTGGGTGGTGTGGCAAGGAATATAGCTGAGTGCATGTCAAAGCTTGGAGCAAAGCCATACTTAATAAGTGCTGTAGGATCTGACATGGCAGGTGAGCACTATTTTACCCGAATCAGACAACATAAATTATAAAGTAAAAGCATTCATAACTGATTAATTGCGCCAGATCCTAAGGAGCTGCTTGCGCTTGATACTTAAAGTATTGGGAAAATAACTTTAAATAATACAAACTATCTTTCGTGAACCAAGAATAATACGTACTTTGAAAATAAGTTTTAATAATACCAACTATATAAATATAGACCAAAAGTGATATAGAGCATATTTTTACTAAAAATTCAACTATTTAACTCATCAAAAACTTGTATGAAAATATCTAATTAGTGAATATATTTCCAAATATCATTTATTTGATGGCTTGACATTAGCTTTTGATGTCTTAAATGATCGGTTTTTTGTCAAAAAAATGAGTCCATATCATTTTTGTTTGACATTCAAATAGTTGGTATTATTAAAAGTCATTTTTGAAGTTTGTATTATTATTGGTTCATGGATGATAGTTTGTATTATTTAAAGTTATTTTTCCTAAAATATTTACCCCCACGAAAGTAGCATGCTCAACTTTGCTGTCGAGTGTTGACAAGGCATTTATTTTTAGTTTATTACAGTAGGCATTTCAATTAATATACGTAGTATTAGACATAATAGTAATGTCTGAATTTTCTTTCATTCCCTCTTTGCTGTTGTTTTGAATAGGAAATTTGCTATTGGAACACTGGAAACTGGCAGGATTATCTATAGAAGGTATAGTCTTAAATATTGCATCATATACTGGTTAGTTGATTTATCACTTCATCATCATTACCTTAGTGCCGCAAAGGCTCAACCTACGGTTGGGTAAGGGGGGTTGATTTATCACTTCATATATAATTCAAAATATTGATGCTGCGGTGCTGCCTAAAGTTCATATTGATACACATGATGCATCATGCTCATTTATTATGATGCTGCCTAATTTAATTAGTCTTGTCTTATACTCTCTAATGTTGAAATAAATTTTTAATTTCAAATAGGTATGCTAACGTGTTTATTGATTTTGTATTCAAAGGCGTCATAGGCCAGGGGCAATAGTTAAGTGGGATCAATATTTGCTATATTAAAAAGGCAATAAACATTAGATGCTTACAACTTTGGATGACAAGACATATGGCGTAATAGTTTGAATGCATTAATAAAAGAATAACCTAAACATAACATACTAATTTGAAAAGAAAATTTGTTTCCAACTCAAAGAGGAACAAAAGGAAAACAGTTTCAACTTATTGAAATTATTAAAACTCCAATCAAATTTTAGACAACGGTCTTAGTTTATGAAACTAAAAAACTACTTGTTGCGGAGTGTTAACTACAAAAAAAGGATTAAATCTCAAATGTTTAATGTCGAGAACAAAACCTTATAATTTTAAGGACAGACTTTCTAATTAAAAAAGTGGAACTTATCGAACGCAAAAGCAAAAACCAGGAAGTATAAAATTGAGGGAAGGACTACACTTAGCGAGTTCCATTAAAAAATAACTCTCAAACCACAGGCAAGTAAAAATGCAAAACACATGTAGCCTATGGATTAAAAATCTTCATATTGTTTATTTGCTTTATAAAAGATACTACATAACATATTTGAACAAGCGTAACTTCTGAAAATAATTAACGATAAAGTAAGTACAGTCATAAAAAAAGAAAGGTTTTATGGTTTGAAAGTAAGGGTATCTTATTATTCGATACTTGTACATTTGTTTTTGTTTATATACCGATTACCATAAATAATTGGAGTGATTTTCTAGAACACTAAGAAATACATACATGAAGTTGATGGAGACCAAAACTGACATACACGAAGTGTACATCAATGGAATAGAAGGGAAATTTTGGTACTGAGGCTTTGAGAAATGAAGTTTAGTAGAAAGGAGTAGAAGATGAGATCATGTCAATGCAACATGAGATTATCCATTGGTTCATTACCTTCATTTAATGCCATTGAAATTTCTATTAGGTATTCTTAGACATCATAGTATTGAGACTCCGTCAGTTTGTCACATTTATGATAGTAAAGGAGAAGTGGCCGCCGGTGTTGCTAACGTTGAAGCTGTTGTAAGTTGCTACTGAACAAATAATTATCTTATTATGTGAAAGGTTTTTTCCTGTCATATAATTATAATGGAACTATGAAAACAGGAGAAACATCTCACAGCCACATGGATACTGAACTTCAAACCCAACATTTTGTCTGCCCCAGTTTTACTTCTTGATGCAAACTTGAATTCTTCTGCTCTGGAAGCATCTTGTCAACGTACGCTTTCCTTGCTGACTAACACTTGCTATTTTTCTCTCTAACTGACTAACTTTTTATTGTGGAAAATGCATAGTAAATTCTTTCTGTTAATTAAGATGCAAGTTCAAACTTATGCCTCTCAGTTGCAGCTGAATGTAATACTCCAGTATGGTTTGAGCCTGTCTCAGTTGTGAAATCTAGAAGAATTGCTTCCATTGTCAATCATGTGAGCACCAAAAACCCCTGCATCGTTTTAGTTTCCTTCCTGATTTTCTTATAATAATAATAATAATAATAATAATAATAATAATAATAATTGTTGTTGTTGTTGTTGTTGCTGTTCTTGTTGTACTTCATTGTGCAATACATGAAGAGTGATTTTTTAGATAGAGCAGTATTAATTTTTAGCCCTTCGACATTGCCTTTTAAGTGAAATAACAATCTAGACAAAAAATCTATCAAAGATACTTTTTGTGCTTTGCTAATTGTTTCCTTTTGCTTTGTGTCTATAATTGTTTTTAGGGTGCATATGTATTTATACGCTAATTGTTTTCTCTTTTGGTCATTTTATTATTTTGTCTAACCTACTCCAGGTTATATATATATATATATATATCATTTTATCATATTTATATGGGGTTTAATGCTCCAAACTCCCTCGTGATATAGAAATTCAGCGCATTAGTCTCATGTGATATAAAAAATGCGACCCTCCCATGTTATAGTTATTCATGCACAGAATCCCATTTGTGAATAAATTTAACAATTTAAAAATCATTTTTCTTAATATTATGATTGAATATGCAAGTAAATTTGTCAAAATCTCTAAATTATACAAAAATGTTAATCATCTTTCTTTTATTTGACAAGTAAATTAGTTCATAAAAGGGACTATGTGCATGATTAGTAATAACACAAGAGGGTTTAATGCATTTTCTAAATCATAGGGGCTAATGCGCCGAATTTCTATATCACAAGGGGCCAAGAGGGTTTGGTGCCAATTAACCATATTTATATGTGTGCACATTGATACTTCCTTCGTCCCGAATTGAATTGCAATTTGCGGTTTTTAAGGTTGATTGACGATAAAGTTAAATTATCAATGCAGGCAGTTAAATTAGTTTTAATAATTAAAATGATTAATTATTAATAATTAAAATGATGATGATGAATTAAAATTTGCATATTCGGAATCTACATTGAAAGTTCTTTTAAGTTGCAAAATCCAACCTGTGATATATTAAAAAATTGATATGCTAATTAAGTAAATAAAGTGAAATTGTCTTGATCAAGAAAAGTTTACTCTGCAAATCATTTTGGGACAGAGGAAGTATATAAGTTTGACTGCCTCAAAGTGCAGTGTTTATGCACGCTCTTTATTTGTTAAAATTTGCACTAAGCTGTTTTTTGTAGGCTTCCAAAGCAGCTTAGAGTGTGTTTAGTTTGCCAGTGGATAAACCTATTATAGTGAGGATTTTGTATATTCATCTCATTAATCCTATTTAAAAGGTTGTGACAGCCGACATGAAGGGTACTTGGAGTAAAACTTTGTCACTATCGTATTGTGTGCACTTATAATGTGAAAACAGATCAAGATAATTAACCCTAAATATCATACTACTATGCGGCGATGCCAACATGGTGGGGGATGAAGGAGAGGAGCAAATTATTTAACATTTCTCTTTTGGGTGAATTTGATTTGAAATGTATATGCTCCTTAATTTGTGTGGATAACAGAACTAGAAGTTAGCTTCACAATCTCATTACAACTTCCATTTTTTGTGGGTTTAATATTTTGCAGATTACTTTTGCATCACCAAATGAAGATGAACTTATTGCCATGGGAAACGCAGTCTCTGGTGCTGAGAAATTCCATCCAATTAAAAAGGGTTGCCCGCCTTTATCAATAGAAACTATGTTTCAAATGCTTAAACCTGCAATTTCAGTCCTACTGCACAAAGGCATCAAAGTATTGATTGTGACTATTGGATCGAAAGGTGCATTTTTATGCTTCAGGGGGATGATGGGCAGCATCAAGAAACTTGTTGATTTGAAAAGAAACCAAACTCCATGCTTTAGCAAAGAATTAATTGAAGCAGTGATATCAAAGTGCCCCCATAACCATATCTTTAATTCTTTTAAACCCAAGTCAAGGTCCAATATGTGTGCTGTGTATTATCCGGCACTTTCTACAACATCAGTGGCAAGACTTACAGGAGCAGGTGATTGCTTGGTTGGTGGGACCCTCGCATCATGGTGTGCTGGTTTAGATTTCATGCAATGTTTAGCAGTTGGGATTGCAGCTGCTAAAGCTGCTGTGGAAGTGGATGCCAACGTTCCACTAGAGTATTCATTAGCTAAACTTGCAGGTATGGTCGTGTGAAGTGCTTGCATTTTTAGTTTAAACCAAAAACACCCTGCAAATCCCACTTGGAAGAAGCGTGTGGGATGTTTGAGATGTATGCATACCTTTCCTTGTTAATTCCATTTCAAAAACACTATTAATTATCATGCAGTTGATGCGGGGATTGTATACGCTGGTGCCAGACCAATCTTCTGCCCTTCCATGCTGTAGGTTGCAGCTGAAGAGCATTTTAGCTTATGTTGGAAACCAGTATACTAGTGAAATATTGTCAAGTATATTAGTCAAATGTTGTCTCGTAACCAAGCAATAAGGATTAAGACTTCAGGTTTTAAGGCTCATTGTTAAATTCTCTTAGAGTTATTGGAGGTCAAGCACGTCCTAGGTGGCATGCACCTCAAGACCTAACTTTCGGGGCATGCGATGAACACAAGAAAAAAAGAATGAAGCCTAGGGCCGAGATCACTATATCGAAGGTGAGAATTCCCAGGTGAAGGGATGGCTCTCCATTTACAGGTCTTAGGAGGAAAGCCTTGTGTATGTATGAATAGGATACCACCGGCAAGCAACAGATCCTTCATCTTTAAGAGGATGCGACCTGTACACAAGAATATTGATAGACCCCTTATCCTCCAAAACAAGAGATCATTAACCTGCCATTGTTTTAAAGCTAGAGATTATTCATAGAGATTGTTTTAACAAGAGAGCTAAGTTATTTTGAGCAAAGTTATTTATAGTGTTAAATAAATGTCCCTGCGTTTATTGTCATCTTGGTGACGGGCCGATCAGAACTCAGAGGGGTTGTGAGTAAGGGTGGCCCGATCAGAACTGGGTCCGGAAATGTGTGGGACCGAACTGGGTCTGGAATTTTCAGCTTTGGGCCTGGGATTGGCCCAATCTGCCCAAGAGCGGTTTACGGTCCCGGAGACCGAATCGGGCGGTTCCAGTCCCAAATCAGCCTTCTTAAGCTTGAAACCAGTTAAAAACCCAAAAAGTATGTAATGGGTCCGAGTCGGAACCGAATTGCTCGGGTACTCGGAATTGGCCCAAGCACATAAAATAGTAGGTCGGTTCTAGGCTGGCCAATTTTATTTTATATCAGGGGCCCTGAACTAGGACCGGACTGACCTGGCTCCATCCCTAGTTGTAGGCCTGTCAATGAATCCGCCACTTTATTTGAGGGTATGCATCTAAATTTAGAACTGTTTCCCGGATCCGTATCCGAACCCGTTATATGATAAAGAAAATGGGTCGGATATTGATTTTTAAGTTTCGGCCCGTTTTGGACTCGACCTGTGATGATATAATTATAGTTTTAATATTTGTAGGCTTATTTAGTGGTTGGCCCACTATAATGGGATTTTTGCTAATACGTTAGTGTTCTAAGTTCTCTATGAGTTCACTAATATACATATAACATACTCCGAATATATTGTATAGTTCATACGGAGTAATGATTAGAACAACATTTTGCTTATTTATGTATGATCTCTTCCAACATGAACATTTTTTGTTATATACTCCGTATTATATTTGTTTGCACATGTCATTTAGTTTTTTTTGTGGGTATACCCGGCCCGGATCCGAGACCCGCCGGATCCAAATCTAGAACATATATTTAGGACTTGAAAGGTAAATGGGTCTGGATCTGGACAAATTTTTCTCAACGGATATAGATATGATATTTATAGTTCGATCCAGCTCGTATCCAACCTGTTGACAGGCCTACCTAGTTGTAACTTGTGAGTGTTATCATGCATCTCTTTTTATCGACCTTATTTCACCTATCTTAAAATTTCAAGAATTGAAGTTGGTTTTGTGCCTGAAAGATGTATCTCATATTAACTTCAATAGCTACAATTATAAGAAACTAATCTTTGTCAATGTAAATACATGAATGGTTAAAATAAAATTTTGTAAGAACACAGTGGCGTTATAGTGTTTAGTATTTACAAATAAGTTTAAATGGAAATACTACAACAATGGTAAATTGTCCTAAATAGTAAATAGGACTAAAAACATTTGTCTATTCAAGAATAAGATAGGACTAAAAACATTTTTATTCTCTAAATATAAGTAATTATTATCATGTTTTGGCAGTATTAGACTTTAAACATGACATTTTTCTAAGTTTAGATGGAATTACTCCTATTTAAAAAAATAAAAACTTGGCAATCCTATTTTGGAATTCGTAAATGTTTTTACTCTGGGTATCACGATAATAGTGACTCTCTGCATGGGTGAGGATCCGCAATGACTGGCTTGATGACGGAGGAAATCATGGCTAGCTTCGATACCATTGTAAGGTGGATGGATTTCTGGCTCACACTTCCATCGTAAAATTGCATAGATCGACTACTACCCCATAAAAAATGAATGCGAACAATTTAGCAATCCATTATCTTTTTTTTAAGATCATATTTCAAAACTAAAAATAGTGTTTCTTTGATCCCATTGGATACCATGGGAAAAGATAGGGACACTTAATTGAGGGAAAATTGATGTAACTGTTAGTACAAAGCAATAAATACACCAAGAGGAGTAAAAATAATCGGGGTTCACTGGTATCACTTTTTTTTTCCAGGACAACTGCTTCTCAATAGATAGACCCATATCTGCTGGATTGAATTCTAATGTAATTTTGAGCAACTTCACCTCACCACCTCGCCAACCATTTGATTGCTCGCGTTTGGCCGTATACTGCATCATTTTATCCATCCATACATGGAGAATGAGGCGAAAGTGAATTAAGTGGGAAGAGTCCCTTTAGGCAAGGGAGAGAAGGCGAGGATAAGTGGTGACTAGCTACACGGTCCAGGAGCCGTAGTGCCTTGCTGGACGACCGAGGGCGTCACACCCGACTTTGATACCACTGTCAGGTGCATGGATTTCCAGCACAAACAATTTAGTGAGTTAATTTGCTTTATTTCTTCGTATTTTCAATAAAAAATAGCGAGTCTTTGACTGGATTAAAAATGGTGAAAAAAGATAGAGACACCTAGGCAAGGGAAAAAATGACGCAGCTGTTAGCACAAAGTATCAGATACACTGAGGTGGGTAAAATAACCAAGGTCAACCGTTATCACTCCTTTTCAGAACACCAACTTCTCAAGAACTTGATACCCATATCTCATGGATTGAATTCAAATTTGACAAGTGACTTACCAATTGTAATGTATAGGACCACAACGGTCATAGATAATGACATCTAAAACACATCGTCGCATGGAGAGTGAGCAGCGCTGTCTGGAAGGTGATCATGGTCATACCGCCAGTGACCATCGTCACCCCTCACCCACCATGGTCTCCACACAACCTCAGTCATTGGCACAACCTTGCCCCTCCCACTTTCCCACCCCATCCCAACAAGCTCCCAACCACACCCCCTTTCACTCGTCAATCACTGTCCACCACCGCTCAACCATGGCCAAACCTATCCAGAAACACGTACAGACTAGGATTAGATTTGAAAATCTAGCAATGACCATCCTTGACTCTTGGTCTTCTCTTTTTCACGAGATTGTGAGGAAAATGATCGGGATTCGGTCGAGAAGAGAGGAGTTGTGGCGGCGGCGTACACTACAAAAAATCAGGGGGGCCGTAGTTTAAAAATTCCATGAGAAGCAACTTTGTCCCGGATTTTGTCTGTGACCAAACGGGCGTGACAAAGTTGTTTGTCACGGAATGAGATCCGTGACAAGCTCTGTCACGGATTAGTCACGGCCCAAATTCATGACAATAGGGTTATCGGAGTATTGTGCTGGTTCAAATTTGTCACTGATTTATCCGTGACAAAGCCTATAATTTGATTTTTTAATTTTTAGAAATTAAGTGGGCGGGGAATGAAAATTTTGAAATTTTCATTTAAAACCTGTAAAAATTTTCATTTTCATTTTCATTTTTTGTATTAATTGCTTATAAATGTAACATGTTCAACTTTTTGGCAAGTTTTAAATGAGGGGGCAATTTTTTTAAAATGTTTGATTTTGGAAATAATATTAACATATTAAATTTTGAGGAACATGTTTGTATTTGTCTCCACCATAGAACTTGCACCTCTCAAGTGTCTCATCATCCTTCCAGAACAATATACATCCTAAAGGGCACACATCAATTTCTATATAAGGAAGCCCCAACTCAGATATTAATTGCTTCATGTTGTAATATGAATAGGAAGATTATGGTCACGCGGTAGCATTCCTCCTATTGACTGCAACAACCTAGACATGCAAGTTTCAGGGAGACTGTATTCAGCTTTAATGTTCATCAACTCTTAAACGGCGGATAGCTGAGAGTATCCCTCACAATCAGCATACAGATGTTGATCGCCAGCTTTTAAAACATCTTGAAATCTCTCTGCTAAACCTTCAATATGAGGAATATGAGAGTTTAGATCTTCATCCGCATCAGGTTCATAAAAGATCAGATCTTCATCCGCATCTGGTTGATACGAGGTCGAGGCTTCAGGAGAATTGTTGCTTGTGGGTGGTTAAACTGAGACGTTGGGGCACCGTATACATCATATAACATTCTTTTCTCCATGTCATTTGATCATAGTCTCCCCACCCACTCATCTCAGTAGGAACATTATGAGACGAACCTACTGTTTGTGGTAAAAGTGATGGATCGAAAGGTTCGCCATGACAAGTCCAATTATAATAATTGTCAACGAAACCTTTTCCGTACAAATCCTACACAACTTGGTCGATGTCTTTAAATTTGAGATTTTTACACTTGTACATGGATATCTGATTTTATCACCATCCATATAATTCTTGTGTTCAAGTGCAAGTTTAACAAATTCCTGAATTCCATTAATAAATTTGTTTCGCATTCCCCTCTTTTCGTCATGTTTATCATACACCCAATTTCTATTTTGTCTATACATTATGCCTGAATATTATAATCAAAATATTACATTGGTTAAAAACTATATACTACCTCCGTCCCGGTAGACTTTGCCAAGTGCAAAGTAGGTGAGAAATAAGAATCGTAAAAATTGTGTGGTTGAGATTTGTGCAAAGGAGAGAGAAATGAGCAGAATCACAAATTAGTAGGTTTAATAGGAAAGTGACAAAGTTTTTTGGGACAACCAAAAAGGGAAAGTTGGCAAAGTTCAATGAGACAGGGGGAGTATTATAACTACTAACAATTTTTTTTATGTTTAATATATTTCACTAATTAATACGGAGTATGTAGGAACATTAATATATTAAATTTCACTAAAATTAATTATTAACGTTCAATTAATATTATTAATTAACTAAAAGCAAAATGTTAATTGCATTAATCATTTCAACTAACTAACTTTTGAATCATAATAGTTCACAATACTAAGATTTTCAACACTAAATACATTAAAATCTAATTGTATATATTATAACCGCTAAGAATAATTTGTTATATTTAATATATTTTACTAATTAATACTACATATGTAGGAACATTAATATATTAAATTTCACTAACATTCACTAAAATTAATTATTGACGTTCAATTAATATTATTAATTAACTAAAAGTAAAACATTAATGACATTAATAATTTCAATTAACAAACTTTTAAATCATAATAATTCACAATACTAAGATTTTCAAGACTAAATACACTAAAATCTAATTGTATATATCATAACCACTAACAATAATTTGTTATGTTTAATATATTTCACTAATTAATATGTAGGAAGCTTAATATATTAAATTTCACTAAATTTCGCCAAAATTAATTAAACGTTCAATTAATATTATTAATTAACTAAAAGCAAAACGTTAATGACATTAATCATTTCAATTAGCAAAACGTTAAAATCTAATTGTATATATTTTAACCACTAAATCATTACGTTAATGGCAGAAATTCACTAAATTTAATAATACACAATAAATTAACTAACATTTAAATTAAATAAAATTTAATTAAATAATTCACAGTAATATTCACCCTAAAGTAATGTTTAAATCCTAACTTAAATCATTATAAATCCTAAATTAAAGGCATTAACATGAATAATTGCTAAACTTTAGTATATATTTTTACTACTATTATTATTACTTAAAACTCTATAAGGTTTTTGACTAAAATGCATAAACAAACCTAATATTTTTATAAACCCATTTCAATCAAGTAATAATGTATAAATTTAACTAATACTATCAATTGAAATCCTAAATTAACGGTATTACCAATAATTGAAAATTAATATACGTTTTGTCACGAGTTTCAAATATATGCACAATAAATTATAATATCACTACGTTTATAGTTAAATATATTGTTAAAACAAAAAAATACTCCCTCCGTCCCGAATTATAAGATACTTTTCGGGTTACGATGTTTAACCGACGATAAAGCAAATGGATCCCTGTCTGCACTCCAATTAAATTAGAAAAAAATTACGCATTCAGAAACTACATTAAACCCGCTACAAAACCTGCAAAAAATAATTCAAATTTCATAAAATTTTGATATATAAAGTAAGAGATTAAGAGTGATTTGTGTTGACCAAGTGAATAGTAAAGATATCTTATAAAATGGGACAGAGGGAGTAATATTTAGCATTAAAAAATATACATAATTCAAATAACATACATTATCTGCATAGGCAGGAAAAATGACACAAGACATATTACATCCTTCAATCTTCTAATAGATATTAAATTATACTCTAATTGAGTTTCAGCTGGTATGAGTCGAATGAAACTATTTTTGCATATATAAAAGACTATGTCACAAATTTTGTCATGGAAAAATCTGTGACAAACTCTTTCACTACAACATTAATTGGGTGACCGTTTAAAATATCAATTATTGACCTTTGTCACGGATTGGTCCGTGACAAACAAAAATTAAAACTATTGTCACAAACGTTGTCACAGATTTGTCCGTGACAAATGGACGGAATTAAAAAAATTATGCCGGAATAAGTTTCCAGTCACTGAACCCAAATCCGTGACAAAAAATTATGTCACGGATTTTGTCTGTGACAAAACTTTTTGGTGACATGTCAGATACATCCGTGACAAACTTGTCACGGACGGAATCCGTGACAAAACTCCTGTTTTCTTGTAGTGGTAGCAACTGAAACATCGACGATTGCGATTGGAGCAAGTGAAAGATGGTTCTCTCGGCGGCGGCAGTGAAGAGACGGAAAAAACAAGGTAGTGACGACAACTGAGGTGACGGGATGGGCGGTAGCAGAGCACTCACGCGGCGGCTTCTAGTTGTCCATCGGTAATGGAGCTGACGGCACTCAAGTCATATGTGCCTCAAAATAAATTCGATACTAACACTTATACGTAGTATAGTGAAGTAGAACTCGTATCCACAGGGAAATGAATAACTTTCTTTCAATGAACTAGTAATAAAACGGGGGTTTTGGGATTGTGTGATTTAGTTAAATTAAATACCAAGACGAACAATTTTTATGTGTTTTAATTCAAGATAAAAAGGACTTGGCTTTGCTACTTTTCACTTGATATATTTAGTCGATCCTGGTTATACATGTAACTTATCCCCTCTTGAATACTCAATCGAGGAGTATCTCCAATTCATCGAGGATAGTTATTAACAAGGACCATTCGTTAACAACTCTTACTATTAATCAAATTAATATAGAACAACGTCGTATACCAATTTAATAGTAACATTTAATCTTTTTAACTCCTTGATGAAATAAATTGAGATTGATAACATCAACACAACGGTTTCGGTTTAACCAACAAAATTAATCCCTCTTAAGATTATTAACCACAACCGTGCATTAATAAACCGAAGTTACTTACTTGTGAAACTATAAACGATTAACCATCATTTCGTTGATCGTTTCTAGTAATAATTAACGTTGAAGCGTTAACTAATTGTCACTTAGCAACACCCCAACATTAATAAAGAAATAAGATTAAGGGAAGAAGTTAAAAAAATAACTCAAAACTTTAATATTCAACAAACTTCAAGAGCAAAATCAAGAAATGGAAGTTTAGCTCCTCATTTGGAGACTAAACAATGCTAGAACAATATAAAGAAAATAATATTCTAAGTTGAGCTTAAGCATATGAAAGAAGGGATGATTAAAAGTGAAGGAAATGGTGTTTTATATAGGTGTTTAGCATCAACTATGCCGAATACCCGACCGGATATTTGTCAAATCATATCTTTTTCGCACGTCTTTGTGTTCTTCCGCGTCTCTTTTTGCCCGAAATCATTTCATACCCGACCGGGTATATGGAATACTCGACCGGGTATTTGCTAGTTTCGTAGCAATTTCCTATTTCTCTTCATACCCAACCAGGTAAAGGTCATACCCGACCGAGTTTTGCACTAAACTCAGGTTTTTTCATCCTTTTTACTTCCAAACTTATCCTAAACTGATAGCCCAACTAACTACTTCCTACAACATACAATCAAATGCTAAAAATACAATTACAATCAAATCAAACTAATGGCTACAAACTTCCACAACATGATAAACAAACGTCGTAAACAAATATAAAGATGTAAAGTTATGCACTAACAATTAGTGCACATCATGAGCTGAAGAGAAATATGAGATGTGAAGCAGAGAAGATGCGGATAGAGAAATCGCTAGTAGGGCATGGTTTTAGTCAATGTGTAAAAGGCGCTAGGCGCTAGTCGAGCGCCAACCCAACGCCTAGTCAAGGACTAATCAGAGACATATGAATAGTTTTGCATAAATATGATAAGTAATATTGTACTTGTGTGTATACATAATATATACACATACATAAATAAGCTTGAATTGTAGAATTGCCATATTTAATAATACGTAGTACTCCGTATATGATAACTAATCACTTAACTTTGCTATGTTCTAATTATTAGATGATAATAAAATTTGAGTATTTTCTTGATTTGTGCGTGTCATCCTTGCGCAGGGTAATAAAATTTGAGTATATATACAAACATATATAGTTTTGTATCTTAATTCACAACTACATTTCTCTATATTCATGGTTAAAGTTAAATGTGCATATTTCCCTTAGAAAAATAAAATTAAAAAGTAAAGTAATGTTTGGCGAATCTAGACGCCCTACGCGGCTGATTAGGCACTCTGGGTGGTAAGCTAGGCGACATAAGCCGACGGCCAACTAATTCACCTATGCGGTAAACTAATTAGTCGGGGCGTCTAGACAAAAATCAAGATGTTGGGCTACCGCCTAGCGTCTAGGTGGGGACTAGATAGGCGCCTAAAACGATTTTTAGAACAGTGGTTTCAGTCATGATATTTCAGCCTGTTCATTATTTTGTGATCACTTTTTTCTTCTATTTCAATTGTGGTCTCATATTTGTCCAAATGTCCAATTAAGGATGATTTTACTCGGATTGTAATTTGCTGGTCTATCTGGCCTGTCTAAGTCTGATTTGATCTAATCTATTTAAGTCTGGTCTGGTCTGAACTGGTCTAGTCTGGTTTGGTAAACGTTTGGTCTCTGTGTATTTTATAACTGCGGAAGTCAAGTCTGATCTGGTTTGATTTGTTTAAGTGTGATCTGATCTGTTCCGGTCTTGTCTGTTTACGTTTGGTTTGATCTGATTGTTTAAGTCTAGTCTGGTCCGGGACTGAAAACAATCCAAATACAAACATCCTAAAACTCATAGGTAATATATATTGCTGTCATTATTTGCTTTATTATTAATCACTTTGTTCTTTTTTATTTGTTTGCTCTATGTCATGTTTTTCCAAAAAAATGTATCTATTATTATGTAAGAGACAAAATTGCAAAAAAAGGAAGAGTCTAAGACACAACAAAAATATCTTTAATTTTCCACATGTCTTTTTTTTTTTCGTCTTTTGTTTGTTACAGAGTACGTTTTATGCGGAGTAGTTTTTAATCGTTGTCGATCTTTTCTACCCTATGCATGCACCGGCCGGTGATAGTGTCCTAAATGGAGATAACTATTTGCCTCACAAATAAAAGCCTCACGAAAGGCAGTAAAAGGAGGCTATATATTTCATGCCAAGTATTTGTTTAGAGGTGACTTTCCCATGCCAAACACAAAGCAGGTGCGCTTCTCAATCATTCAATCTCTCATTCCCTTCCCTTGTTTATAAAACTTTTGTTTATACATCCAACTTTTATCAAATTTATCTTTTTTTTAACTTTATAAATTTTTTAATTTACTAAAAAATCTAATTACGAACATAGATTTAACTTTACGGAGGGAGTACTAAGTACATTCGATAGGGATTAGCTTTTTATTTATTTATTTATTTATTTATTTATTTATTTATTTATTTATTTATTTATTTATTTATTTATTTATTTATTTATTTATTTATTTATTTATTTATTTATTTATTTATTTATTTATTTATTTATTTATTTATTTATTTATTTATTTATTTATTTATTTATTTATTTATTTATTTATTTATTTATTTATTTATTTATTTATTTATTTATTTATTTATTTATTTATTATTAATTATCTCCGCCCCTTAACTTTTATGATGGAGTTATTAAGAAATACAGGATGAATTTATTGTTGATATTGAATGATTCTGAATTACATAAATATCACTAAAATTTGTACTACTATTACGTAATCTTAATACTAACATAGTAACATACCATTCCACGACCTATTACTGGATTCCTAATTTCAGGAATTTACTACATGTGCAAATGTGTTAGTGTACATATGAATAGATTCCCACCCCTTCCCAGTTTTGTGTTCGGATAAACTAAACTTTAATTTTTTTAATCTAAATTTACAAATTTAATTAGTTTGAAGGTATTTCCTCATGTGAATCTGGATAGATATGGAGGGAAAAGGAAGATTATGGAACTAAGTCAAAAGCTTGTCAATGGAAAAACTAAATTCCGAAAATCCCCTAATGATATCCGGAGTATATATTTCCACAAGAGAAGAATGTTGTAAGGATGTTTTCTTTTGGACTGAAATTTGCTGATCCGATCTGGTCTGATCTGATCTGGTCTGGTCTGGTCTGGTCTGATCTAATCTTGTCTGGTCTGGGACTGAAAACAGTCCAAAAAAGAAAACATGCTAAGTGGGTGGTACAATAACGCGAGAAACGCGTTTCTGGGCAACAAAATTGAGGTCCCGTAATAACTCAATCTGAGGCAACAAAAAATTAGGAATCCCTTTCGGGTTGAAACTCTATTGGTTCGTATATATCCAAACATTATGTTATGTAATGTAATACATATACATATATTGATAAATACATATTCAAACCCTATGATTTCCACAGTTCCTCTTCTTAGCATCTTCTCTTACAAATCCGTGACTAGGTGAGTACTGAGTAGTCAATCGTCATGTAATTGCGCACCTTCTCTTACAATTCCGTGACAAGCATTATTATATAATTTCTGTAATTGTGCTTAATGTTTACTGTTTTATACTCTCTTCCTATGTTTCTATGTTTTGAATTTACTATGTCTTTGATACTACGTAATGGCTAATATAATGCTTGGTGCACAAGCTATTGTGCATGTCATTTTACACACCTGTTAAATTGTCTGTATAAACCGATTTTCGCACAGACAAAACCGATTCTCTTCACTAAAAGCTGGTCAAATTGTCTGTACACAAACAATTTGACCGACGTGTTAAATAGATATATACTTTGCCGTGTACAAATAGTATTTTCGCGTATGAATTATTTGTGTTGATTAGTTCAAAAAAAGGCGGACCCACTAAGGGTCCAATGGGGTCCCGGGACTCCATGGACTTCAGAAAAATACCTATATATTATATATATTTATATAAAATTAAATAGGAAATGTATATATACAATAAAAACGACAACAAAAACAAAAGATTGTATCAGTGGAACGGGAGGAAACACGGAATTAAGGAACTTCCATGTGTGAGGAATCATGTTCGATTACACCCTGTGCCTTTTGCCTTTTTTTTTATCCCTGCCAATTCCTCAATCCTTGCAATCACCAAATCGATCAACCTCCGCCTCTTTGCATTTGCATTATTAAGCTTTCTTTGAATCTTAAGATTTAATTAATATATTTATGTATTTATAAACGTTATTTTCAATATTGTATGAGTTAGAATGAAAAGTATTTCGGTGTTGGACCCAAATTTAAACAAATTCGGATGTTAATTCAAATGATTCGCCATTAGTAAATGAAGAATTGAATCAAGTAATTGCTGCAAGTGAAGCTAATTTACTTGATAATCTACCTGAATAATATGTTGATTTTGAATCTTAGGAAGCTGATCCTGGATTGATGGTGTACGTTAAGTATGAAGTGTTATGCTTCTTTCATATATTTTTATTAGTTTTATATTAATTAGAGATACACAAGGATAGGGATCCCATGGCTCCGACTTTCTGGGTCCGCCAATCAGTTCAAATGAAGAAAAGAGGAGGGGATTGACTCGCCTCTATAATGTGTACAACATGAGAAGACGAGTGTATGGCATTATTTTGATTACACGTACTCTCCAAAACAAATTCACTTTCATTTTTTAATGTCTCAAAATAAATTCATTGTGATTCGTAACAATTCTTACAAATTTCTTTCTTTTCTGCACAACTCTTCACAACACAATATTCACTATTATAATCTCCATATCATTTGTGCTATAGGAAAAAAAATAGGGAAGAAGGGTGTATTATTTACTAGTAATTCTTAGTTGACTTAGGCCCTGTTTGGTTGGAGGGTTTCAGAGGGGAGGGGAGGGAAGTGAGGGATTTGTGTGTGTTTCGTTGAAGGAAATAGGGGGGAAGGGGAGGAAAGTAGAAGGCTTCCAAAATCTTCTCACTTCCTCCCATTTTAAGCCTCCCAAATCGGGGTATTTCGGAGAAAACGTATTGATAACCACAAATTATCCATCTCTTACTAAATGGACAAAACGTTGTAATATAAAGGGAAAAGTGTCAAATAGGGCTTCGAACTTACATAAAAAGGTCAAATAAGGTCTTATATAGGAGGCTCTGTCCGGCCGTCGCCATTTGGGACGGTTCCCGGTGGAAGTTTTTGATGAATTTTTTTGAGCATCTTATTCATTAAGTCTACTTTACTCATAAACAATTTCAGCTAAAACTTCAATTGTGAAGGAATTCAAATAAATTCTTGAGATAACTGCGCAGTAATCTTCAAGAATTCATTTTAATGCCTTCCCGATTGAAGTTTGAGTTCAAATTTGATATGAGTAAACTAGACTTAATGAATAAGATGCTTAAAAAATTTCATCAAAAATTTCCACCAGAAACCGCCCCAAATGGTGTCGGCCGGATAGAGCCTCCTATATAATGCCTTATATGACCTTTTTAAGTAAGTTCAAGGCCCTATCCGACCCTTTTCCCTAATATAAAAAAGTAGAAAGTAAAAAGTTTTCGAAATTTAAAAATTTTAGAAATTTAAAAATTAAAAAATGAAAAAATGAAAAAAAAACATAAAAAAAAAAAAATAAAAAAAATTAAAAATTATAATTAAAAAAAATAAAAACTAAAAAATTTAAAAAATTAAAATAAAAAAAAATAAAAATTAAAAAAAAATAAAAAAATTATAAATTTAAAAATAAAAATTCTTTCTTCCCCTTCCCTTGCCTTCCCTCCTTGACTCTCCCCTCCCCTCCTTTGAACCAAACAAGGCCTTAGTTTGCATACAATATTCCCCTTCCCATGCCTTCCCTCCTTGACTCTCGCCTCCCCTCCTTTGAACTAAACAAGGCCTTAGTGTGCATACAATACTAGTAGGTAATAAACACACTGTTTACTTTTAATTTCAATTTCTTATGGCACTGCCGGCTGGACTCAATTTTATGAATGCTAAAGGTCACTAATAATTGTTACTTTTAACTTTTTATTTTTTAAGAATTAGTTGTGAATTTATTCTTTGAAGGAAATTTCTACGGTACATCCTGAAATATTCAATGTACCTGTACCCTGGATTTTTAAACCAATCAAATTAATGTTTTGATGCCACGTTGACAAATAACAAATAGTTTTGTTTGCATTATAGTCCCTAGAGTTTAATTTGCTTCTTCTATGTAGTCCCCTAGAATCACGATGACTGGTGCTGAGAGTTTCTTTTAGACGACGCACAATCGGAAGAGTTTCTGCAGTCTGCACCAATGCCAAACCGGTCTTTGCCTACATCCCGGGCTATTGGCTCACGTATTCCTTTTTCACCACCATGCCGGCCACGACCGCATAGATTCCCTCACCGGCCGGAATGCCATCGATTTTCAAGGAAATGATATCAGCGAATGAAAGACAGGCCAGTAGAAGATATCAACGAGTCGGACTTTGTGTTTGCCCTAACCCTTTCATAAGGAGCTTATATAGGGAGTGTTTGCAACTGCTTCTGCTTAAAAAAAACACTTTTGGAGATGTAAGGAAAAAGTGATTAGTAGTAAAAGTTGATAGTGTTTGAGAAAAAAGTGATTTTGAAAAGTAAAAGTTGGTAGTGTTTGATAAAATAAGTGTTTTTTGTGTAATAGAAAAGGGAAAAACACTTTTCACACGCAAGCCGAGAAAAAGTAAAAATTGGTAGTGTTTGGTAAATAAGTGCTTTTTAAAGCCAAAAACTGAGAAGTGCTTTTTTTTAAGCAGTTGCAAACACTCCCATAGGATCCTTTGATGCGAATCCAAATGAGACCCAAATTGCCTCCATTCATATTTTTTAAAGAAGGTATACGGGTGTTTTAATCTTCCCTCAAGAATCAAGACACCAGGAATATATCGGGTGATAAATCAGTACGAAGTACTCCGTTTTAATTTCAGTACCAAACTCACATCTTGTTTTCCGCAACCAAGTGGTTTGACGATGACAGAGGGGTTAAATTTCAAATAATAGGAATCTTGTGACATGTCAATTTACTGAAGTGCGATTGGTTAGAAAAGTAATGTACCGAAACCCACTTAATTTTAAGGTGCACCGTAGAAGAACCCTTCTTTGAATGGCAGTATGTTTATTTAAATAGTTTTTTTAAACTTTGATATGATACGTTATTATTCAATTTTGTTTGGCATTGATTTGGAGAAGTTTTTGTTGTTATATACTCTGTATATAATTATTTATTGAAACATCCCTGAATTTTTTATATTTATGTGTTTCCCACGTTCCGTGTCTACTTTTTTGAAATATTGTTTCATGCGTTCCCGTTTCCTGTTTCGTGCTAACTAGTTGTGATGATTTAAGTTCCAAAAATATTGAAATTAAGTTGATAATATTTACATGAAGTGATTCTGCTTCATTTAATTATTCAATGTCGGATTATTAAACAAATTTTTCCTTCCTTAACTTTATACTCTGTAGTCTCCATATGTTTTTTTATTGTGCATCTTAGTTTAAAGAGCAATAATATTTACAATTTTCTTTATAAAATAAAATAAAGAAATAAATCTCAAATATTTCCAAATAGACGATCTAAGGATCAAGCATGTCTTACTCTTTGCTAAGTGCCAACATAGTAACATTTCCTCCCATCTTCGATACAAAAAGGGCCTGGAGAAATAAAAACATCTCAATTCAAATATTTAGAAAGGTATATTCTACAGTATCCTTAAGGTATCATACTTTTGTCCACATAATCCAATCAGAAGGATGCAGATGAATTAATTAAATCTAAATTAAAAATGGTATAATGGTGTGGATCAATCAAGTGAATGATAGGTACCACATTTTTTAAATGGGTACCGGAGTTATCACCATTTAGAAATTCTTCGTTCACAATTAAAATCATCTTAATTAAGCGGAAGGGGCCTAGCGATAGCTAGGATTTAGTGTTGGCCGCGTAGCACTCTTCGCGCAGCTTTTCTTCCACGGCAATTCCACGGCAGCGGCTTCCGCTGTTTATTCGATAACTCACGCCGACTTATCCAAACCAGAAGACTTCAAGGTTTTGGGGCAACTCACGGCGGCGGATTGATCACACCGCCCTGTTTTCCACTGCAACACATCAGCGTTTTTAGGAAACCTGACAACTATACTAGACGAGATGGCGGTGGAATTAATCTATGGTGCCGGCTTCATCCAGCGCAAACTTATTTCAGGTGGCCGGGTATATTGCGTCGGAAAAAACTCAAAGGGGGTCATACGACGGCTTTGATCTGGATTGCGGCTATGATGAAGACGGGATGACGCTGCACTTGGAAAGGACAGTAGGGGCGATCCGCCCCCTCCTGAACCTCCGCCATGGATTTCAATTTCGAAGTGAGATCACGAGACAAACTACTTTTATTGCTTTTACTTAAATTTCTTTAAGAACCTTTACTATGCTATTCTTGTGAAAAATAGCGGTAGGTGTTTTAGTTTTGAGGCTAGTTTCTATGATTATTGTTTAGGTGGAAGTGATAAGGCTTGTCTGACCGCTAAAAGCTTCAAAGCTCTCACATGGTTAGCGATTAGTCTCATTCATAATTGAGTGGTCTACTCTGTTTCTAATCAGAGATGAGGACCGTTTGGCTACGCGGAGTCTCATAGGGAGGCTTGGCTTATTATGGTTGTGGAGATGTTTGATTTTTATATATTTATAATATAAGTTAGTTTTCCTTTCAAAAAAAAGAAAAGAAATCTTCGTTCACCTGATCTAAATGTTTTTTAATATTCTCATATCTGGTCTGATCTGAATTTTTCTAATGTGATTTGAATCTTTTTTTCCGATCTGATCTACATTTTCTAATTTCACATGAATATTTCTAATCTGACCTAATTCACTAATTGAGTGTCTATTATTATTAAAACTACGGAGTATATTATAATTAATAGAATTCTTATTCATTTATTATTATATTATTATTTTTATTACTATTACTACTATTATTTTCAGTATTATAATAATATTTTTCTTGCAAGAATAATAATTATTATTATTATATTGTTGTTGTTGTTGTAATATACTCCCTCCGTCCTCTTAAAACTTGGCCAAATTAGATCGGCACATAGATTAATAAAGTAAAAATGGTGTGATCGTGGTTTGTGCAGAGGAGAGAATTAAGTAGAACCACGATTTCTTTACTTAAAAAAGAAAATGACAAAGTTAGTGGAACAACAAAAAAAGAAAAGTTGACAAAGTTTTAAGGGACAAAGGCAGTATATATGTTGTAACATTGATATTAGGAATTTTATGATTTTATCAATCCATGACCTAAAAGCTAAAAGATACGTTCAATATCGATAAGAGACCAATATATATATATATATATATATATATATATATATATATATATATATATATTGCCCAAATGATCGAAAACTATAAATCTAAGACTTTAAATTCCTTGCATTTTACCTCCCCTGTCCCCCTATGATTGTCCAATTGTTTCATTTTTGGATGTTTCACTATTATTGTTTGATACTGTATTTGAAAAGTGAAAAGTAATTTTAATGAGAAATTAATAGGGATTTGCAGGGATTTACTCGAGTACGATTGCTTTGTTGTTGTTTTTGATTGATTACTTTATTACAAAGTTGATTTTGTCTTAGTTGGTGTGTCACTCTTTCGTCCCAATAATATGGTATGGGGAGGGATAGAGTAATACTTTTGTATTTTAAAAGCGTAAATTTAAGGAAGTTTTTAATTGTATTGTAATTTTATTACTTTTGAATTCCTTATATATTTAAGAATGTTTTTAATTGGATTGTAATTTTCTGATTTGGTGTGATTTGTTTAAGTCTAGTCTCAATTGTTGTAGACCGGTCTGGTATATGTTTGGACAATGTGTACTTTACAAATGCCTGATCTGGCATTATATAATTGCAAAACAAAGGTCTTGTTTCCGAGTTCATGTATATTTATATAATGATGAATGATTAGATCATTTTGATATTACCCCGGGTATTAGCTATTTAATTAGTTAATTACCTTAAAATAGTTCCATTGCAATATGTACAAAGCTTTTAATTTCTTTAATTTATATACCTCCACCTCCAAGACTATGAGGTTTAGGGTTCTTTACCTGTAATATTAATGAGGAGAAATTGTAGATTTATTCTGTAACTTATGAGTGTATCCATTTTTTCCACTCATCTGCATTTTTAAACTTATACTACATAACTAATAAATTTGTCCACACTAAGAACTATTTCACTGGAAGGTATAACTTTCGGTAAGATTATTAACTCTTGTGTCGTTTTTCCCGATAGCATTTTATCAAAAAGTGCTCTTTCTGGTGATGAAAAATTCATTAAATAGATAAATTTATTAGTTACAAAATCAAATCTACAAGTAAGTAAAGCTAATGAATTAATTACAAGCAAAATAAAAAATTGCTTATTAGAATTGCAAATATGCCTATCAATCACACAGCCTCACACCTATTTATATGTATGTGTTCTAGCTTTGAAGTGATCACATGTTGCCTCCAAGAATGAACCGCAAGAGAAAAGACAATGAAAATGAAAAGGATGGTACCGAAGGTAATGGAGATGTGCTTCAACTTTCAATGGGTCTCAAGGGATTAGCTCGAGGACAGCTAGTTCCTTTCAGAAAAGTTCGACAGCGACGAAACCCGTCGCAGGCACCGCGTGAAGGCAAGAGCGAGTTTATTCCTCCTCCATTTCCCTGGTCGACGGATAAGCGAGCAACTATACAACCCCTATCTTATCTGGTATCAAACAAGATATCTACTATCACCGGAGATGTGCAATGCAAGCGATGCGAGCGTACGTATGTGATTGAATTTGATTTGCATCAAAAGTTTTATGAAATTGGGAGGTTTATCATGGAAAACAAAGCGATTATGCACGATCGCGCACCCGAGATGTGGAGGAACCCGGTTCTCCCTACGTGTCGGTTTTGCGAGCAAGAGAATAGTGCCAAACCGGTTATCGCGAGTAGCAAGAAAGCCATAAACTGGCTCTTCTTGCTACTAGGTCAGCTACTCGGCTGCTGCACCCTCGAGCAGCTCAGATATTTTTGTAAACACACAAAGAATCACAGGACAGGAGCTAAAGATAGGGTTCTTTATCTCACTTATTTGAGTTTGTGTAAGCAGCTTGATCCCACCGGTCCTTTTGATCGTTAAATGGGGTTGAATCTATCAATTAAGTTCTCTACTAATGGTTTCAGACCACTACTAATAATGAACTTAGATATAGCTAGTTTTAAGTTACAATTTGGATTATTTATTATATATGGAAGAAATCCATATTCTTTTGAGTCTACGACTTAGAGTCTAGGAATTAGGATATTGCTGTTGTTGTATGGAATCCATATAACATTTATAAAGTTTAGAGTTGCAGTACTACTCTTAGTATTGTTTATGTTAACTTAATTTGGCATGTTGAGTAAAATAATTAAGTACTCCGTAATTTTTTAGATCTGAGCTTCTCATCTTGCAATTATAGTTTTAGTCACTTCCAATCAGCATAATATACTAATGAGATGTGTATCGATATAAAATTTTAAAATAAGCATGATAGCATTAACAAATGAGCATGCACTATTATGAACGTTACTGAGCATCCAAGAAATAAAATATTTAAAACCCTCACTTATGCCTGGATGTATGGTGCTTACCATACACTCGAGTGTACGATATACGGACCCGCTCTCCTGGCATAACAAAGTGAGATTGAGAAAAGGGTCACATAAGACCCTCTACTTGTTTGAAACCATCACTTGAGTCCATCTACTCTTAAAAACATCACATAAATACCTTTACTTGTTAAAAAAAGCATATCAGTATAGGTGACCTGCAAGGTACTTGGTGCTCCCAGTTATAAGCTTACGTGGGTTTTCTTTAAACCCAAAAGAGATAATTTTTCCACGTCATTCCTATACCAGTGCTTTAAATTACACGTACAATTAGATTTACATCGCTTCTCATCCCAAAGCCTTAGGTTCTTCTTCGCTCATCTTTCGTTCGTCTGCCTTCCTCTGCGTTCGATTCCCCTGCGTGAAGATGGCGTCCTCTTCGTCTACCTCAACCGCTGTTTATTGCAGATGCCCTGTTTCATTTCATGGGTGATCTACAAGGGTTTGAAATACTTCAATGGAAATTAGGTTTAAATTTATAACATTATGGTTTAATTAGTAATTTCAGTTCAATGGTTTGATTTACAGTCCATACCCCCTGCTTCGAGCTTGAATTTTAGGGTGATTTGTTGAATTAATTCTTTGATGATTTAATTAATTATTTAAATAGGAATGGAGGGAGTCAATTCTAGCTAGGATGATTATGCATGCATTCCTTATTCGTATGTCTTTTGAAGCAATATGAATTGGTCTGCATGAAGATGATATTTGTGATGATTGGGTTGTATGTATATAATTAAGAAGAACTTTTTTACTTAGTTGTGGTGGGAAATGCAGGAAGGAGGTTGTATGTACTTTGCTTGGAAACATGAAAATGAAAATGAAGAGGGAGAAAGCTCAGAATTGGTGATTGAAGGAGCTGAAAAACTGGAATTTAATGAGCTGAAATCAGTAGTTTGTCTCCTGACAATTCAAATAATGGGTCTTTGTCGTGAAGTTTGTGATATGAGGTCACTTCTGCAATTTGAAATGGAAGACATCAAGAAACTTATCCATGCCATGGAGGAAATCAAGAAAGATTATGAAATGGAAGAAAGAAAGAATCTTATCCAAAAGGAGGAAAGCAACCAATTTGGATCCGTATGGAAAGTTGTAACACTTTTTGTTGTAGGATTATCAATTGTAATTTGTTTACTCAATGGGAAACCATTATATCGTAGTTGTATGAAAGTGTTCATTAGTCTTGTAACATCACTATTTTGTGTGCTTTTGTAAGAACTAATTTTGATTGTTATTGAACTATTATTGGTTGTTATGTAAGAAGAAAAAGTCTTGCGATTTCACATGGAATGTTTTCATGTTAATGTGTAATCTTATTTTGATTGTTATGTATTAATTGTTGGGTAAGAAGCAATAATTTTCCTTCACCTTATTTGTTCAAAGTTCTGTCTTCATGACGAGCAATGGAAGAAATAGGCTTCCATTCACTGCAAACCAGTGGCAAAAACTTGAGCACCAAGCTCTTATTTACAAGTACATGGTTTCAGCCATGCGTGGTTGAACATGGGTACTATTAATCAAGCCTGAAGACAGCAGCAGAGAAAACGGGAGGATTATTTTGTCCTGGGAGCAAAGAAGACCACCCGCCTGTAAAATATGACGTCTATTTCATATGCATTTTGTCAAGTTTCATACGCCTCCTAGTTTCTCAAATGCATTTTGTTTGTTAACAATGCCATTCATTCATATATCCTTAAAAAAATTATAACATATTATTACCACATCACATCCTGAAACACATATCTAAACCAAACATCACAACATGATTTTGTAAACTGCCACCACATACATAATACCAATATCATATGTTTAACAAAATAGGCACCAACATTGCTTACATGTATGCATTAGCATCCATAAAAAGGGATTATTTACCCATAATTAGTACATTTACAAAAAGAGGGTTATATCCCATACAAAAGTCAGGCAAAAAACATAAAAAACACCACAACACAAGCTGCCCAATAGTCTTCTGCTTTAAACGAGTTTGTCCTGCCGCATCTCCACTTTAAACAACTTGTTCACCTGCCGCATCTCCACTTCTTTTTTTTGTTTTTGGTCTAATACTTGCTTCATTTTCTGGTTCCCTTCTCCTTCGCCTTGGTGCGGCTCGATTCAAAGCTCCTACAGATGCGGTTTGTGTTTCCGTTTGCTTATTTGGACATTTAGACTTATTATGGCCAGAGCCCTTACACCTTGAACACGTCATCACTCTACCTTTTCGACTAAGTGTTGTAGTGTTTGTGGATGGCCTTTCATTTGCCTCTCGGTTTCTCTTTTTCTTCGGCCTTCCACTCATTTTTTTGGGAATTGGGGCCTCGATATCATTGTGTTGTGTCTTTTTCCACAATAATTCCCCGTTCATGGGCTGAAGATGATGGGAATAGATTTTTTGGTACACGTCTTTAGAGTAGCACTCATGAACATAAGCTTCTGGATCCCCGCCCTTGTCATATATAGCACACACAGCATGTGGGCATGGGATTCCATTTAAGTCCCATGCCCGGCAAGAACACGTTCGTCCTTCTAGCTTAACTTTGTACTGGTGTCTTCCCCGCTTCACCTCGTACCCGTCATCACCATTAAAGACAACCTACAAAGTTTAGGGATATATGAGTCAGTGATAACAATCGTCAATGGTAGGACAGATTCGAATTCATAACAAAGTATATACCTTCCATGCCATGCTTTGGTGTATATTTTCATTCAGCTTTTTCATTATCCGCGGGCCAATGTTACCAGCCCACCTTGTTCCAAATTTAACCTTTTTTGCAATTCGCTTCATGGTTGCAGTTCTAATGGCTTCTAGCATAGGGATAATAGGTCTACACCTAGCTTTTACAAGTGTGTTATTAAAAGACTCACTCAAATTATTATCAAGGATATCACATTTTGGATCAGTTCGGAAGAATGCTCTGCACCAATGATGAGGATCATAAAGATCCATATCTGCCCGGGCTGTTGGATCTATCTTTTCCAGTGCTTGCATTTGTTGATCAAACTGAGGTTGTGTGGTGCATCTAGCACATATCCAGAAGTGTTTCTTCATGATTTTCCCCGGATGTTTCTTGCTCCAGTTTGCGTGAATATGCCTGCAGCAGTTTCTGTGCTCGGAATTAGGGAATAATTCCTTGATCGCAGTTATTAGGCCCTGCATAAACAAGAATTTAGACCAGTTATAAGCAGTACTGCATGTACGTTCTGAAGAGTTTACAAGTTCCATTGCTGCCATCATATATAGCTATCTTAATCTGAGTAACTTCTAGCTTATGAGCATCTTAAATCAAAGGTGAGCTACATTACTAATACATACAGTAGAGGGCTAATCATTAAATCGACCTTCAAAGATATAACAAATGCAATTTAGACCATGTGAATGTTGGTAATAGTTAGAACAGTTATTACAGTTAGAAAATATAATTAGAGCAGTTAGAATACTAATTGTACACGTTCATTATGTATAATAGCCAAGTATTATACCTTTTGTTGATCACTCATCAAAGTCCAATGAAAAGAATTGTCCATTTGAAGGTCTGCTTTTAGAAGATCTAAAAACCATCGCCACGAGTCAGTGCTTTCAATCTCTACAATAGCCCATGCAATTGGATACATTTCATTGTTCGCATCCCGAGCCACTGCAGTTAAGATTTCACCTTTCAACAAGCCTTTAAGAAAACAACCATCGAGTCCTATTACTTTACGACAACCTGACAAGAACCCTTCTTTCAATGCTCCAAAGCACACATACATCCTCTGAAAGACCTCGGGAGCATCTTCAGTAACCCTCTGTGTTTTCACAATGACAGTGCTCCCCGGATTTGACCTAATGCACTCCTCAGCGTAGTCCCGCAGTCTTCTAAATTGATTTCCGAAGGATGCATTAACTTCTTTCAAAACTTTGTAAATAACTCTCTTCACCTTGCATATGTTGATACTCAGTTTCAGGTCGTTGCGAATTAGTTTTTGTAGTACCACTTTTCCCATGCAGGGATTTTCCCTAATTTTATCGGCATACTTTTCTTGCAGCCAATCTTGACTCACCACATTGAGCTTGAACTTCTTATTGCATCTGTGCTTACCTACCCAAGTCTTTATTTGGAGACATCTATATTGGCTGGCCCATGAGGCAGTACATTTAAAGGGGCACTTTCCAGCACATTCTGCTTGAACTCTATTTGGTGCATTCTTCACCCATCTGATATCCCTCTTCTTTTTAACTGCATAGGTAATCAGAGCACTTTTGAACTGCTTAGCATCTTCAAATAACATCCCCACCTCAAACTTTTTTTTTTTAGAATTTGGATTGTACGAAGGCACTTTGCAAGCATGATTCACCTTGGATTGGACCTCTTCAGTATGTTGGTGGTCATCATCAGAAGGTGAGTAATAACTGGGAGGATCATCAGAGTCATAATATTCGGTTTCTTCATCATCATCATCATCATTAGCCGAGCCCAACTCAATACTTTTGTTCTTCTTTTTTACCCAGTCTAGGCCATTGTCTCTTGCGTTTTCCTCACTGCCATTATGACCTACTTCTTCTTGTTCAGCTTCCCCATTGATGCTCACAGCTGCATTTATATCATCTGACTTAGCCCTATTCAATTCAATGTCATCTTGTTCAAATTCTCTTGTTTCAGACTGAAATTCAGCTTCTTTGGGTACCCCTGCACGTACATTTGATGACAAAGCTAGGTCAGTGAGAATTTCTGCCTCATCAATACCATGCTCCACATATATATCTACTACACCGCAATTAACTGCCATCTCAATAAG